TTACACTAAACATTGACAAAACCTACTTCATTCAGTTTGGTAACAGAGCTACAGATGTACCTCTTAACATAATGATAAACGGATCACCTATCACAAAGCTAACAGAGGGAAAATTCTTAGGAATCCACCTTGATAATAGACTCAAATTTCATACACATATACAACAAATTTCTAAGAAAATTTCCAAGACTGTAGGCATACTATCGAAGATACGGTACTATGCTCCACAGTCAGCCCTCCTGGCCCTATATCACTCTCTTATTTACCCCTATCTCACCTATGGAATTTGTGCATGGGGCTCAACAACAATTAACCATCTCAGACCACTAATTACCAACAAAAGGCTGCAGTTAGAATGATAACAAATTCTCACTACAGGCAGCACACTCCACCAATATTCAATACACTAAACCTACTCACCATACAAAACATCCATACTTATTACTGCACCTATTACATACATAGAACACTTAACTCTGATATTAACCCTCCCCTCAAACATCTCCTTGCCAACCTCAACAGAACACATGACCATAACACAAGACACAGATCACTCTTTGATGTTCCTCGTGTCCATCTCACACTATGCAAAAACTCAATGCACATAAAAGGCCCTAAAATCTGGAATTCATTACCTGTAAATATAAAAGAAACACTACCTGTTTATAAATTCAAGTCTCTTCTCAAAGATCACTTACTCACTCAAAACCAAATAAATACTGAATAACTGAACCTTATAAATTGTGTATCTTAAATGTTTCTCACAATTATATCACATAAATGTTAAACCTAAAACCCAATCTAACTTTATTATTTTTTAAATACACTACCTAACAGAATACTCCATTCTACTGAATGTACAACAATGCATACAACCATATGACCTGTCTTTGTAATACTCATTTGTGCTTTATTGTTATCTGTTTACAATAATGTTTTATCACTGATTACATCATTACTTAGTTAATCTTAAGTTAATTTTAAGCCAGCCCGTAATGCTATGCATACAAGTGGCTTTGGCATGCTGCTCTTACCAGTATTTTTTTGTACCTCTGTATGTATGCTCAAATTACTAAATAAATAAATATTTCGTGACTCACTCAGAGCCATTTGTAAATACTTGACCTAGTACTGTGATGCTTTAATGAGAAATGGTAAAAGTATTCTACTCATAGTGCAAAATATGAGAAGGTGGATTTAAGTGATTATTATGATTATTAATAAATTAAATAGAAACTAAGAAAATTCCTTTTCCTCTCCAAGTGAAGACCCCTAGACGTACTAAGTTTATTTTCTTACGAAAAGCACTATAACCCAGGGACGAACTGACTATGTTCGTAATAACAAATTTACCTTAAACCAGCAAATAGTAGATCCTACAAGACTAGAAAATATGCTGGACCTCATCTTCACTAACAATGATGATCTGATACGTAATCTAACTGTATCGAGGACAATTCACTCAGATCACAACATAATAGAGGTACAGACATGTATGTACAGGGCTCAGGACCAGCAAAATGTGAGCAGTCATGAAGGTCTCTTTACGAAATTCAATTTCAATAACAAAAATATACAATGGGATCAAGTAAACCATGTTGTAAATGAAACAAGCTGGGAAGATAAACTAAACAACACGGATCCGAACATCTGCCTTGAAAAAATGAATTCTGCAGTTCTTGAGATCTGCTCAAGACATATTCCATTAAGAAAAAGAAAGAGAAGATGTAAACTAGAAAGAGAGAGACGTTCCCTATACAGACGAAGGTGAAGAGTCACAGAGCTGCTGAGTGGGGTCAATATATCTGAAATACGAAGGGAAGCACTAGTCAATGAAACAGCAAATATCGAACTTAAGCTGAAGGAATCTTATAGGAGACAAGAATCACAGGAAGAACTAAAAGCCATAAAGGAAATTGAAAAAAAAAAAAAAATACTTCTTCTCTTATGCCAAATCTAAGGGAAAAACAACATCCAGTATTGGGCCCCTGCCTAGGCAGGATGGGACATACACAGATGACAGCCAAGAAATGAATGAGATACTAAAGTCCCAATATGACTCAGTGTTCAGCGATCCACTGCCCACTCTAAGGGTTGACAATCCAAATGAATTCTTTATGAACAAAACCCAAAATTTGGTCATCCCAAAACTCTTGGATATTATTATAACTCCACAAGATTTTGAAGAGGCAATTAATGACATGCCCATGCACTCTGCCCCAGGCCCAGACTCGTGGAACTCCGTGTTCATCAAGAACTGCAAGAAGTCCCTATTGCGTGCCTTCACCATTTTATGGAGGGAGCATGGACACAGGGGTCATCCCCCACACACTAAAAACAACAGACATAGCCCCACTCCACGAAGGTGGCAGTAAAACAATTGTCAAGAACTACAGACCGATAGCATTAACATCCCATATCATAAAAATCTTTGAGAGGGTTCTAAGAAGCAAGATAGCCAACCACCTAGATACCCATCAGTTACACAACCCAGGATAACACGGGTTTAGAGCAGGTCGCTCCTGCCTGTCCCAGCTACTGGACCACTATGACAAGGCCCTGGATGCTGTGGAGGATAAATAAAATACAGATGTAGTATACACAAACTTTGCAAAAGATTTCGACAAGCGTGACCATGGTGTAATAGCACACAAAATGCGGGATAAAGGAATAACGGAAAAAGTTGGTAGATGGAACTACAACTTCCTGACAAATAGAACACAAAGAGTAATAGTAAACAGAGTAAAGTCCCAGGCAGCCATGGTAAAAAGCTCTGTTCCACAAGGCACGATACTCACTCCCATTCTATTCTTCATCCTCATTTCTGACATAGACAGAGATGTAAGCCATAGCTCTGTGTCTTCCTTTGGGGATGACACCCGGATCACCATGGCAGTGACCTCCATTGAAGACACTGCGAGACTCCAAGAGGACATCAACCAAATCTTCGAATAGGCCACTCAAAACAATATGAAGTTCAACGAGGAGAAATTTCAACTACTCAGATATGGAAAACTCAAAGAAATTAAAATTGTGTCAGGGTATACCACAAATTCTAACCATACAATAGAGCAGAAAAGTAATGTGAAGGACCTGGGAGTGATAATGTCAGAGGATCTCACCTTCAAAGACCACAACAATGTATTTACCTCATCCACTAGGAAAATGATGGGATGGATAATGAGAACCTTCAAAACTAGGGATGCCAACCCCATAATGATTCTCTTCAAATCGCTTGTGCTCTCTAGGCTGGAATACTGCTGTACACTAGCAGCCCCCTTCAAGGCCGGCGACATTGCAGACCTGGAGAGTGTACAAAGAATTTTCATGGCACACATAAGTGCTATAAGGCACCTAAACTACTGGGAACGGTTGGAGGTCCTCGATCTGTATTCCCTCGAACGCAGGCAAGAGAGATGCATGATAATATACACTTGGAAGGTCATGGAGGGATTGGTACCAAACCTGCACACGAAAATCACTCCATGTGAAACCAAAGGACTCGGCAGGAGATGCAACATTCCCCCGATGAAAAGCAGGGGCGCCACGAGTACACTGAGAGACAACACAATAAGTGTCCGGGGCCCAAGACTGTTCAATTGCCTCTCAGCATACATAAGGGGGATTACCAATAGACCCCTGGCTGGTTTAAAGAAGGCACTGGACAGGCACAGGCACCTAAAGTCAGTACCTGACCAACCGGGCTGTGGTTCGCACGTCAGCTTGAGTGCGGCCAGCAGTAACAGCCTGGTTGATCAGACCTTGATCCACCACGAGGCCTGGTTTCAGATCGGGCCACGGGGGCGTTGACCCCCGAAACCCTCTCCAGGTAAACTCCAGGATGCAACCCACACCAGTCCACTAACATCCTGGTACCTACTCTTTACTGATAGGTGAACAATGACAGCAGGTGTAAGGTAACTAACACCTAGGTACCTACTTACTGATAGGTGAACAATGACAGCAGGTGTAAGGTAACTAACACCTAGGTACCTACTTACTGATAGGTGAACAATGACAGCAGGTGTAAGGTAACTAACACCTAGGTACCTACTTACTGATAGGTGAACAATGACAGCAGGTGTAAGGTAACTAACACCTAGGTACCTACTTACTGATAGGTGAACACTGACAAACTAATCTTTTTATTGCACTCGTTGTATTTATTTGTGAATTTTTGAGATAAACATTCACTCAAGAATCATAAAATACCAAATTATTATTATTAAAAGAAGTCACTGCTAGTTTAAGATCTTTTTTAACCTAAGATACTGAGGGGACGTTTATGTCACTCAAGGATTGCTGTAACCCACATGGCTAAGACTTGCATCAGGAAACACTTGTCCTGTACATAAGTGTCTTTTTACTGTACATAAGTGTCTTTTTCCAACTGTACATAAGTGTCTTTTTCCACATGTAAAGGACCTGCCTAGTATGGGCCAACAGGCCTGTTGCAGTGTTCCTCCTTTCTTATGTTCTTATGTTTCTTGACAAATCTTACCTAACCTAACCTAACTGTAGTTTATAATAGGTCTTCTAGACTCGAGAACTAATTGTGGGTAAATGGACACAGATGCAACTACAATAATTTCCCGCCCAGCTCATTTAAACCCATCTTTCTATGATGGTCTGGTGGCTGAAGTTCTTGCTTCACGTGGGAGGGTCTGGGTTCAATTCCCAGCGTGTTTCTTTACACTGGGTGTCTATGTTCACCCATTAGTAAATGGGTACCTGGGTGTTAGTGGACTGGTGTGGGTGGATCCTGGGACAAGGACCTAATTTGTGGGAAATGCTCAGCATAACAAGCGGCTTTCTATATAGTAGTATGTCATTGATGTCAGCTATGGTCTGTATATCATGTACTTGTAGTAAATAAAGACTTATTTGTTGTTATTATTATTATTATCAACCCCACTCTTCTCATTTAAACCCATCCTGCCCATTCAAACTAAGGAAAACAGAAATCTTATATTCATAAGAGAAAAATAGCACGCCAGCACCTGATTGGACGACTTCTTAAGGAAGACGGAGGACTGTGAGTGGCAGATCATGGGTTCGGTGGTGGAGATGTTGATGTTGGGGTTGGCACCATACTGGAGGAGGGTTGTGGTCAGGTCATATACATGGTCGAGGTCGGTGGAGGTCCGAGCGTTCTGCACCATATCCATCAGTGAGAGTAGAATGTGTTGTGTCCGCTGACTGAATCTACAGAGAGAGACAGAGAGAGGGAGCAGATAATGCAGTATTTGAGAACTATGTCACAGCACAGAAACAACAAGACATTGTTTAAGGACTAAATCAATAACAGGTGCTTCTTGACTTGCGGTGGTTCGACTTTAGGACGGTGTAGCAGCAATTACCTTGGAGATGAAACTTAAGATAATTACCCAGCATGAAACAAGTCTATAACCTGTATTCATTTACGTGTTTACTTTTCAATACTGGTACAGTGGACCCCCGGTTTACGATATTATTTCATTCCAGAAGTATGTTCAGGTGCCAGTACTGAACGAATATGTTCCCATTAGGAATATTGTGAATTAGATTAGTCTATTTCAGACCCCCAGACATACATGTACAAACGCTCTTACATAAATACACTTACATAATTGGTCGCATTAGGAGGTGATCATAAAGCAGGGGTCCACTGTATTTAGTTACAGTAATTATTTGTTTATTACTCAGAGATGCTAGTTATTTACCGACTTATTTATTTAGCACATTGTATTCAACTTATGATGGGTATGTCAGAATGTAACCCCATTATAAGCCAAGAAGCACGTGAACAGGAAGAACAAACTTTACCAATACAAACAATGGCTACACGAGTATTGTTCGTTAAGACAACTAATAACAGGACGAAGAATGAGCTTTAATCAGGACATTTTATTACTAATACAAATTTCAATAACAATAATAAATAATTTATTTTCTAATGATACATTTGATACAATAGGTAGTAGGTTGGTAGACAGCAACTGCCCAGGGAGGTACTACCGTCCTGCCAAGTGAGTGTGAAACGAAAGCCTGTAATTGTTTTACATGATGGTAGGATTGCTGGTGTCCTTTTTTTCTGTCTCATAAACATGCAAGATTTCAGGTACGTCTTGCTACTTCTACTTACACTTAGGTCACACTACACATACATGTATAAGCATGTATATACACACTCCTCTGGGTTTTCTTCTATTTTCTTTCTAGTTCTTGTTCTTGTTTATTTCCTCTTACCTCCATGGGGAAGTGGAACAGAATTCTTCCTCCGTAAGCCATGTGTGTTGTAAGAGGCGACTAAAATGCCGGGAGCAAGGGGCTAGTAACCTCTTCTCCTGTATATGTTACTAAATTTAAAAAGAGAAACTTTCGTTTTTCTTTTTGGGCCACCCTGCCTCGGTGGGATACGGCCGGTGTGTTGAAAGAAAGAAAGACATTTGATACAAAGGTTTATGTGGAAAAGCATAGATTTATACAAAGCATGTCAGACTCAAAATAACTCAAAATAGCCGCCACTGCTGCTCACCTGACATTAGGGTCAAGGCCATGCTGAAGGAGAATGACCAGCAGCTGCCGGATGAATGTGAATGCTCCCGCTTTCTCCTCCTCCCGGGAGAGGGAGATGTTCTCACTGGCGGTGAACATGAGCACATGGAGAGGCGTCAGGTTGGATCGTGATGAACAGTTGGGGTTAGCACCATGCTTGCACAGTATCCTCACACAGTTTAAGTAAAACACCTGCAAAGTAACGGCAATTAGAAGAAATTCTACTTATCGTATTTTGCGGCTTATTAGACACGTTTTATTCCATAAAATATCTCTAAAAACCAGCCTGCGTCCTACAAACTGAAGGTCAGTGACGGGAGCCATAAGTCTGGGGTGTGGGGTGGGCTGTAGCTCTCCCAGTTACGTCCGACGCAAAGCCATTGAAACTCAAACAAGCCTTGCTAGTCGTGTCTTATAAACAGTGAAATACGGTATACACTGTTGCAGTTTAAGAAACTGCAAAGTGACAGAGATGGAGGAACATGTCTCACCTGCCACAGCTGGAAGAAATCGCACATAGAAATGAAACCTTATAGATGATGTTTTGGTCCATCCCGGACTACTGTCAACTCCCGACCAACTTGACAGTGGTCTTGGATGTATCAAATCATCATCGTGAGAGCTCCTCTCCTCTCTGTGGGTTATTTCTGACTGCCTCTCAAGTGTGATCACTGGGTCTTAAGCATCATCCAGGCTGTGACGGATATACGAGTCAATGGGCCACCAGCAGTAACAGGCTCCATAAGTAAAAACTCTCTCGGAACTCTTCAAAGCTTCATGAGGGCCCAATTTTTACAGCCACTATGTTCCCAACCCCCGGAAATAAGTGAAAATCACCAGTGGGTGGAAAAGAAAGTTTTTCCTAAAGGAAATGCATCTAAAACACCTGTTAACATGTTTACACTATTATATATTAAGTGGTCAATACAGCTAGGCATAAAAAAAAAAGATAAAGTAAAATAAATACACTATACAATACTTATCTTAAAATGTGGCACTGGCCGCAATTCCCTTACACAACTGTTTTGTGAAAAAGTCAGAAAAGCTGTAAAATCACCGATTATGAACACTGACTCAATTGAAAGTCAAAAAAAACATGGAATACCGAAAAGAGGTGCTGAGTACATAGGGCTTTCCTATATGTTAGGTAAAAGGGCACAAGTGAAACTAATGTAACATTTTATTGTGGAGTTTTGTTTGATAAAGTTCCTGGAGAGAAAAACGTTGCCACAAAAAAAAAAAGTCGCATTAGTTTCCTTTTACCTAACATACTGTCGATAATTCTACCAACGTTATTTCACATCATAGGTAACCTGCGAGTGATAACCCACCTTCATGGTGTGGGTGAAGTGGTGTAGGGGGTCCTTGTTGATGAGTGGCACCAGACACACCATCAACGACACCGACCCATCCCGACCCACCAGGTTGGGGTTGCCACCGTAGTTCAGCAGCATGTCCAGCAGCTCGTAGCGGAACTCCCAGTCACGCACGTGGCGCAAGACGCATGCCAGGGCAGAGTTACCCTGCTGGTTTATACTCGGCGATGCTCCATTTTGCAGCAAATAGCGAACTATGTGAAGCATGTCCCACTTGTTCCAAGGTGGAGGATCAAGGTCATAACCATAGCGTGCTTCCTCCAATGCATATCTACAAGAGCAGATTATTACTACAAAATCATAATGAAATGCTAGACCCGCAGAAGTCAGTCCCTGAGGAATGGGAGGTAATCAGGCGATCTGAGAAAGGGAATATAGCTCCAGTTCCTATAATCAAGAGCCCTTCACCAGCATCAAGGCACCCCTTGAAGGGTGCCTTGATGCTGGCAATTTATTTTCAAAAAGTATGGTAACTAGTATCAGTTTTAAAGGTGCAGGAACCTTAAGTGGAACACTGAAGAGCTCTATGGTGTGCAGTTGCAATATCAATCTCAACTATGAGGGAATTCTTCCCTGCTATTACTGGGTTGTTAAAGTTGCTTAAAATCACTCCAGGGGTGTTAATGTTATACAGTGGACCCTCGAATTTAGTCCTGCCTTTTCTGTATGCAAAACTATTATTATCTATAAAATGTATGTTTTGTTAATATTTCCCATAGGAAATAATGTAAATCCAATTAAACCATTCCAGACACCCAAAAATATTAACAAACAATACATTTTATAGATAATAAAAATAGTTTTGCATACAGAAAAGGCACGACTAAATTCGAGGGTCCACTGTAGTTATATAACTGTAGTGCAAACGCGCCTCTGGCAAGACAGTGATGAAGTGAACGATGACAAAAGTTTTTCTTTTTCGGGTCGCCGTGCCTTGGTGGGAGACGGCCGATGTGCTAATAAATAAACACTCCAGCTGAACTATTTTTAATGCTACTTAAATATGTACTTATGTACTTAAAAACATTAAAAAAGGCAATTTTAGTATAATACAAGGTTGTTTTCTCCATTGTATTTCTTCAATGTCTGAAGCGTCTTTTACAGTTCATCACTCTAGTATTAACACATACTTAAAGCTGTGTTTTTTTATTCACTTAGCTACGTTCGTTTTTGGTACATTTAAAAACACCTACTTAACCTGTAAACGGTCCAAACGTATATATACGTTTTTTCAACATTTGAAAGTATGAAAAAAAAGTAGATCTTTTTTTTTTTTTTTTTTTTTTTTTACATTTGAAAATGTGTAAAAAAAACTTTGATTACTTTTTTTTTGTGATTTGAAAATATGTAAAAAAAAACGTTGATCTACTTTTGTAGCTTCTACACATGTGAACGTAGATTTTGCTTGGACCGTTTCGGGTTAAAACCATGTCCAGTTCTTATTTAGGGTGTAAACATTAGGATTAGTCTGCAAAGCGCACCTCATGCTAGTGACTTTCCTTGTGCGTAGCATATTCTATTCATGTAAACTATATTACTGCTAAAAGTACAGAAAAGAATAACGTTTTTATAGTGTTGATGTTTTAAAATGGCTGCGCTGACTCGGGAAGGTTTAAAAAATTTAATAAGGGTAGTTAATGATTTGGGGCCCCACCCCTAGTTGATTTAACCCTTAAATTGTCCAACACGAGATCTAGGGTTAAAACTCGTGGTAGCGGCTCTGAACGTAGCTCTACATTTTTTACATGCTTAAAATGGGGAAATCAAGGCCCGGAGCACTACGCACGTAACGAGTCTAGGGGGGTTTGGACATTTTAAAGGGGGGAATTTGTTGGTTAATCAACACTGATAATGTTAGTTAAAACGCCAGCACAAGAAGCGGTTTAAAAATGACCTAACTATGAGGGCGTGGAAGAGTGTTTGCCGAGGGAGTCGCGTGTTGATGTGCTCCTTGAGGCCGTGATGGAGCAGAATTGAGGGTCTCTAGCGTGTCCTCGGCGCTCTCTTCCCAGGAGAAAGATGACGGGGAAAGGAGGGTCATCTGCTTTTGTGTACGTGGCCACGGTGGTTTCCGGCGCCCATGATCAGGCAGGGTGGGAGGAAACTTGAGGTCGTGCAGAGAGCCTGGTTGGTAGGTAGTACTCGTCGAAAGAAATGGTTGATCTCGTCCGTCTGCACAAAATCAAACAATACAGTTGTCTCAAAACTGTACTATAGCTACCCACTGACTACAGTCGTGGTGAGCCCTGGTCATGTACCAGCATGGGGGCACTGACCCGGAAATCCCTTCCAGGAAATTTACTTATACACCTCACAAAAAAAAAAAATCCTCTTCAATAATGCTATATCTAGTCTTAAAAAGGCTGTGAGCATTAGGCTAGTCTCCCAGAAAGACGTATGCTAGGGGCCCTTTCCTGTGTGATAACAATTTTTTTAAGTCCGTGTAAACTATACAGGCGGTCCTCGGGATAACGAACAGCTCAAAACCTCACAATTATTTAAGTTGAATTATGTAAGGTGCTTTGTAAGTATATATTTTTGGGGGTCTGAAACAGATTTAATCTAAATTTACATTATTCCTTATGGGAATAAATTTGTGGGGTATTGGCACTCGAACAGACGTTCGGGAAATAAAAAAAATTTTTAAACCGAGGTACACTGTACTTGTAAAACTGTAGAAAGCAATAAAATTTTTTTGTTATCTTTTTTTGTTTTGTGGCAAAAAAAAAAAAAGGCGTCAAGAAATCAATTTTTGAGTTTTTTTTTGACCCAAGAGTCCTCAAACCCTGGTAATGCACTAAAACCAACAGGGGTCAAACATAATTGGGGGAATGAGAGAAATCACTTGATGGAATGGGTAGGGCAGTTCTAATTCCTTTGATCAAGAGCCCTCTACCAGAAACAATACCACCCTTTCTTTCAACTTTACCGGCCCGTATCCCACCAAGGCAGGTGGGCCCCAAAAAGAAAAACGAAATTTTCTCTTTAAATTTAGTAATATATAAGGAAGAAGGGGTTATACCCCCTTGCTCCCGGCATTTAGTGCTCTTAAACACGAAAATGGCTTACGGAGGAAAAATTGTGTTCCACTTCCCCAGGGGAGACAATACACAAAAAACCCTTTTCAAAAAAGCAGAACATGCAACGGGCAGTGCCACATGAAGTGCGCAACATTTTATAAGAAATGAAAAATAAATTTATCAAAGGACATTCCCCAAAGGTACACTGTTGTCAATATTCAGGGAACCTGAATAAAAACATTGAATTAAATTATTAGGGGAGATAAGCCAAAAAACCCGTCAGAACATAAAAATAGAAGGGGGAAACCCCAATTACAATGAAATGAGGGGAAACCTTTGCCATAAACAATGAAATATTAGGGAAACCTGTCCATAACAATGAAATATGACGGGAAACCTGTCATAACAATGAAATTTACTGGGAAAACCCATCCATAACAATGAAATATGACTGGGAAACCGCCATAACAATGAAATAGACGGGGAAACCCATCCATAACAAGAAAATGAGGGGGAAAACCTGCCCCATAACAATGAAAATGACGGGGAAACCGTCCATAAAATGAAATATGAAGAAAACCCGTCCAAACAATGAAATATGAAGGAATATACAGCCCCTGTGGAGGCAAGGGATGAAAAGCATTCCGTTTAATTTAGAATTGGACACAAAGGCAATCTCTAGATAAAGAGCCCCTCACCAACATGACGGAACCCCCCTTAGGGGCGTAACATAAAACCGCAAGTGCCATTCACCACGGAAGGGTGACCCCAGGAGGAATACATTCATTAGTGCTTG